GACTGGGTCGGCTCGCAAGCTACCGACGACGAGCCCGGACCGGCACGCCATGCTCAAGACGCGGAAAGCACACCTCAGCCCAGGCCTGCACCCATGTTGGAGAGGAGCAGCCATTCAAAGTAGTCTTGTCCCGATGCAGGCGTCTCGAGCTCGTAGCTGTCCCACTCGGCACCCGGTCGCAGCCTTTTGCCCAGCATGAGCTCGGTGTCGCGCTCCGGTGCCAGTCGGTCGAACGTGTCGGGGCGTCGATGACCCACAAACACAAACAGTTCCTGATCAGCGTCCGCAGACGCACCGTAGTCGGCGCCCTCGCTTCCAAACCGGTGCCACTCGCCCTTGGCTGTGCGGCAGTCGACGGCTTCAAACTCGAACCACGAGCCAAGCGCAGACCAGAACGGCTGCTCCTTGGTCAGAGAGCGGATCTTGTACGAAATCACAAGTTGTGGACCCGGGCTTGTCGACGGCTCTATCTTGGTGTCTGAGTTGGAGGGGTTCGAGAGCGAAATGATGGAGCGTAGCAATGGTGGCAGTAGCTCCGGAAAGTAGACCAGGTCCGAGCAGAGGATGTGCGTGATCGGGTTGCCAGAGGAGCCATCATTTCCTTGCATTTCGGCGATCAGACTCGAAGCATGCGCCTGGTTGCCCCAAGCCAGACTTCGAACACGCGCATCGAGGATGTCGGTGGCGTCCTTGTACCCAGCACGCTCGACGTTGCGCTCCATGAGTGGCACGACGTTTTCGAGGTCGGTCAGCACCAGCCGAGTCCGAGGTGGTGGCTCCACCATTACATCTGCGTGACGCACAAGCTGACGGGCCAGGTGCAGCGATCCGTATCCCGCGCCCGAGCCGAGCTCGACGATGGTCAGCGGCGCCTGCCCTGGCACGGGGAAGAGCGAGCAGGGCGGATCAAACTCGAGCGAATCAGCCGCTTTGCTTGGAGGCACCAGATAGCGTGCGAGCAGATACGCTGCCTCCCAGATCCTTCCTGCGATTCCGTACAGTTCGATGTCCTGCGCAGTGTCCACTTCCCACGAAGGCGTCTCTCCATCGCTCGGTACGGTGTGCGAGCTTGCGTCCGGAGTTGTTGTGGGAGGTGGGGGTCTTGGCCGATTCGAACTGCTGGGCTGGATGCGCAGACCAGCGGGAAAGTTGGGATCGACAGCGCCGTCACTACCTTTAGTGGGCATTGTGGTTTCCTGCTTGCGGCGCCTCGAACGCAAGCAATGACCTTCCGCGTGGTGATGGTGAGGAGGAGAAGGTGGGCGGAGGAAGAGGAGCTGCTCCGAAAAAGTTGCGCCGAATCAACAAATTCAGGGTCCAAAAATTGGAGCCCAAAATCGGAACTCGAAAATGGGAATTAGATATCGCTCAGTGCAGCTGAAGCTGCTCTTCTTCTTCTGCTGCCCAGCGGCCTCCAATCCAACGAAATCGGGCAAAAGTGCCAGATGCGAGAGAGGCGCGTTTGGGCCAACTCGGCGCGATGGCCCCGACCGCTGCTCAGCCGAACCGCCGTCGTCATCATCACCACCACACTCGCCGCATCAACCCTTCTTCCTCCGTGGCCCTACCCTGTCCGGACACACTGCAGTGAGACCTGCGAGCCGCTCCATTCCTCGCGGTGCAGTAGACCGGGCAAGTCAAAAGGTCAGGCCGATCAGACCTCTCGTAGCTCGCACAACGTCGACGTCAGCTCGCTCTTCATTTCATCGTGCGTTGGCAGAGCCTACCTCTAGCTTGCGCTCCATGCACATGAGCGGGAAAGCATTGTCTTAGAGTCCGCCTCTCACACGTCGTCACTCGGCTTCAGACCGCATTCGGCACCATGTCTGGCCGCTCCAACACCATCAAGGACCTTCGCTCCAAGATCAAACACGAAAACGCCAGCCTCGGCTCGGGAACGGCTACTGCAAGCTTCAACTCGGCTCGCCACCAAGTCGCTCATGTCGGCGATGCCTTCGGCCACCACCCAGGCTCCGCCTCTCTTGGTGGCGCACCCATGAGTGCCTTCAACACTTCCTCGGCACCCTCCAACTACACCCAGCCTCAGTCCGGCGCTGCAGGCCTGGGCGCCGGACCTTCCTTCGTCAGCCTCGCTCCGTCCGACTCCATCTCCAACTTTGAAGGCCGACAGTCGCACGGCTATCCATCCTCCCACGCCCTCCACCAGGACCGACACAACAATGGCACGGCGTTTCATCACTCCAACCCCACCAACCCACCCTATCCGCGCTCCGCAAGCCCCACCAACCAGAGCACCGCAAGCTTCGCACTCGCCTCCGACCACACGCCCACGCCTTCCACATCCGCCACAGTCTCGCACCAGCGTATCCCTTCCCGCGTCGACGCCGTCGATCCCAACGCCAACTCGCCGCTTCGTCCCGCACGATCCGTACGCAGGCCCCAGCAGGCGCCCGTCCCCGTTTCGCACAGGGGTCTCGCCGCCTTCTCCGCCTCCTCCAACCTGGGCGAACGCGTACGACCCGCCGCACAAAGACCGCAGCTCCAGATTCCGCCCGTCGGAGCGGCTCCCCGCGGCGCACCCAGCCCCACCTCCCCAGCCAGGAACGCCCCAGGCAGGGACCTGCTTGCAGCCTCGCGCTCCCAAGCAGCCACCAGCCATTCGCGCAACCCCTCGGCGCTCACTACAGCCTCTTCCTCCACCTTGAGCCCACACGCCACGCCTCCTTCGGATCGTCACACGCGCTCCGCACAGCTTATGGCCCAGGTCGCACGCTCTGGCACACCCTCCAGTCAGCCCGATTCCGAAGATCACGAAGATCTCTATTCGCCCATCGATCCCCCGTCCGAAGGTCACGCGGCCCTGTACTCCAACCATCGCGCTGCTGACCGTCTTTCGGTGCCAGGACAGCGACCGCAACGCGATCCACGCCGCCAATCGGGCGCTCCCCTCGGCTCCCTCACCGAAAGCAACCAACCTGCCGCGCTCGATTCGGTGCTCTCGGCGCTCACTTCCGCCGGACGAAAGCGACAGGCCGCTCGCATCATGCGTGGCACCACCGCAGAGGAAGAGTCGCGCCGTCGCCGCAACGAGAAAAAGATCTCGCAGCACCCGCAGCAGGCGCGCAAGCCGGTCTCCGCCTACCTCGACCGCGCCGACCCGCGTGCGTTCCAGTCCATCAATGCCGTGCTGCGCAAGGTGGAGGCAGAGTGGCCCTTTGTCGCCGACGACCACTTCAACTCGGTCGCACTGGCGCTCTCCATGCTCGACGACAGCAGCCTCGGCACCAGCCGCGCCGAGTTCGAGCAGGTCAAGCAGCTCATCGAGACCGCTCTGCAGGGCACCGTCGACGACCACTACGAGTCGTTTGCCACCGCCATCACCATGCACAATTCGGTGCTCCAGTCGCTCACCGCCGCACAGTCGAGCGTCAGCGGTGCACGCCGTCGTCTGCGCGACTCGAGGGAGGCGCTCGGTGCCAAGCGCGCAGACCTGGTGCAGATGTGGCAGCGCAGCCAGTCGGTCAAGGAAGCCCTGCGCCTGCTCGATCTCGTCGAGCACCTCAAGTCCGTCCCCGACCGCCTCGAGAGCCTCATGGCCGAAAAGCGCTTCCTCGAGTCCGTCAACCTCCTCGTCCGCTCGCTCAAGACCATCGACAAGCCAGAGGTGCTCGAGGTCGGCGCCACCACCGACCTGCGCGCCTACCTCAAGGGTCAGGAACAGGCCATGCTCGAGATCCTCATCGAGGAGCTCCACAACCACCTCTACCTCAAGAGCTACTTTTGCGACGCAAGGTGGAAGGTCTACAGCGCCGGCCAGGAGTCCTTGCCCGTCGTGCGCTTCGGCTCCGACTACACGCCCAGCAAGCATGAAGCTCGTGGCAGCGACGCAGATGCATCCGCACAAAGCTCGGATGCGACGCTGCAGCTCACGCGCTTCCTGCAGAGTCTGCGGTCTCGACCGAGCTTCGACCCCAACCTTGCATCCGACATTCAAGAGGCGACGCTCATGACATCCACAAAGTCCGTCTCGGCGCTCACCGGCGAGCTCAAGTCTCCCGGTGGCGCACTTGTCGGATCTAGCTTGGATGCCAGCGATGGCGCGGGCAGCACCGAGCTCGGGGCCGGTCGTCCTGCAGGCAGATACGGCGCCGAGTTTGACCGCAATCCCGAAGCCGACTCGTTCGTCTACATCGAGATGCTGCTCGAATCGCTCTCGCGTCTGGGCAAGCTGGGCGCGGCGCTCGAGATCGTGTCGCAGCGCCTAGCGCTCGAGGTGCACCAGCTTGTCGACACGACCATCGACGAGGTGGATGCGCGCAACGAGCCGCTGCGGCGCTTCTCGATTGCGCTGCGGCCCGAGTCGGTGCTGCTGGCGTCGTCGTCGGCGCTGGCACGCTCGTTCACCGAGTCGATGCGCTCGTCGCGCTCGTCGTTCAGCCTGCGCACCAGTCGGCGCGCGTCGAGCATGCTGCGCATCTCGGCGGGCGAGACGTCGGCGCTGCAGCGCGATGGCGAGACCATGCGCGACCTCTTCTGGACGCTCTTCTCCAAGCTCGATGCGGTGCTGCAGGGCCACCGTGTGGTGTACGAGGTGGCGGGCATGATCGCCAGCCGCGCCGGGTTCAAGGACGAGACGGCGTCCAAGAAGCTCTCGGGCGTAGCGTCGCTGCTGGACGTGTGGAAGCCGATCCAGCACGAAGTGCGCACGCTGCTGCACGACTACCTTATGGACGACGAGGGATCCACTTCGGCGCGCAATGCCGTCATCTCGGTCAACGATGTGCTGGTCGACCAGCGGTTTGGACGCGACCGCTCCAAGCAGCTCTTCAAGCTTGCCGATGCGGGCACCCAGCGCGCACCTGTCAAGCGCGATGCGGGCCCGCTCGCCAAACACCAGCTGGCCGTAGCGCAGGCGCTCAAAGCGTCGGTACCGGGGCTGGTGAGCACGCTGGACGGCGCAGCCGGCATGGGCGGCGCGCGCGCGGGCAACCAGATCATCATCTCGTCCTCGGCCGCCAACGCCGGTGCTTCGACGGCGCGCGGCGTGACGACGGGTGCGGGCACTGGTTCGGTCAGTGGACGCGGACGCGGCGTTGAATCCTACACGGGCCCCGGCCACCGACTTCTGGTGAAGCCCGACGCGTTCAACGTGTCGGTGCTGTTCCAGCCTGCGCTTGCGTTTGTGGAGCGCGTTGCGGCGGTGATGCCGTCGGAAGCGGCGGGCGAGACGTCTCGCGGCTTCTCTGCGTTCCTGGACGAGTTTGTGCAGGACATCTTTCTGCCGCAGCTCGAGGACAAGGTGCAGACGCTCTTCACCGGCGCCACCGGCCACACGGACAGCTTTGCCGAGGACCCTGCGTCGCGGCAGCTCGGTCGTACCGCTGCATCGCGTCCCGTGGTGAAATCGGCATCCAACGTGATCGTGCTGATCGACAGTCTGTACTCGATGCTGCGGACGACGCCGTTCCACCGCGAATCGTACTCGCGCCTGATCGTGACGGTGGTGATCCAGTACTACCAGAAGTGCGGCGAGCGGTTCCGCGACTTGCTTTCGCACGAGTCCGCGAGCGATGGCAGCGAGAGCAAGCCGGAGGAGCAGGGTGGCTATTCGTTGTCTGCGAATTGGGCACAGCGGCCGGAGATGGTAGCGTGTCTCGCTGAGCTGCGCGATGGTGCCACGACGGCGGAGAGGAGGGCGCAGTTGCTGGCGCAGGAGGTGAGGCTGGAGCTTGCGTACGCACGCGCGCGCGCGGCCGTCGCGATCCACGAACTCACCACCTCGCGCAAGAGACTCATGGCGCTCGGATGCCTCCAGCACAGCATCGAGTGGTTTGCCTCCAACGTAGGCCGGCTCAAGCCGGTGTGCGAGCAACACACGGCTCGCGCCGACAAAGACGCGCTTGGTTCAAGCCGTCCCAAAGCTCGCCTTAGCGTCATCGATGCACTCACCCTCACGGATACCAACCTTGGCCACACCTCGAAACCGGATGGGGAGGATGAAGAGCTTGCGTTGCCACTTACGTCCGAGTTGGTATCGCGATTCCCTGCGCTTGCCGGCGCATATGGGCAGCTTGCATCGACGGTGCTCTACACGCTGCGTCTCGAGGTGCGCCTGCGCGTGATTGCGTACCTGCAACACGCCGTTTTGGAATCCAGCTATGCGGTCAACCAAAACGCCGTCGAGCCCGCACCGCACATTGTCGACCTCAACGCCGAACTTGCTTCCATCGACGATATCCTCACCGAGACACTGCCCGCCGAGAGTCGGGCATTTGTTCTCGAGGGTGTGGCGGCACTCATGGATGCGCATCTGGTTCGGCTGGTGCACAGTATCCGTGCGGTCAACGTGCAGGGCGTGACCAAGATGCTGCGCAACATTCTGGCGCTGCAGCAGAACCTGAAGAACATCCTGCCCGGTAAAGAGGTCTCGTTTGAACGCGCGCGGCGGTTCTACGAGCTGCTGTACGCCAAGACGCCAACGCAACTTCTGGCTGGCATGAGGCAGTTTCAAACCGCCCAAAAGACAAAAGTGGTGGGATTCGCAGAACTTCAAACTGTCTTACATCTGGCTTTGGGCATCGATGCATCGGCCAAGGGCGAGGGGGCACAGGATAAGGCGGCAGGAACCATCAATGGTGCAGATGTGTCGAGGCCCAAACTCAACGAATACCTCATCGAGCTGCACGAGCTTGCCGGCGAGCACGAGTCGGATGACGATGCCTAGACCACAGTCGCACAATATCATTTTTTTAAAATAGCTCAGGTGATGTGCCTGCCCCACGCCCGTACAACGTCCGGCTGCGTGTTGCACTTTGAGCTGCAAGCGAGACCTCGTATCGACTGCTTCCGCAAGCGCGCCACATCCACAGCTCAAGACGCATGACAAGGGTCTAGCTGGCCATGCGCACGCACCGCTCCCCCGCACGACAACACGCGTGCAACTGCCTCACCGCCAACATTGCACTCTCTAGCCAAGCTCAGCCTCGCAACCACGGCCACGCACACACGCACCGACGTGCAAGTGAAAGCTCGACTCGCCATTGCGACCTGCGAACGAAATGTTGCCTGCACCGCGACCAGCGGTCAGGCTGAGGATTGCGTCGACCTCGCGGGCTCGTCGCGACGCATGCTACTGCTGTTGCGATCGTCATCACCATGCGCCGTGAGACATACGACGATTCTACGCTCGAGTCAGTTCTCCTTGCAGCGCACGCACCGCTCCATCGCGTCACTTACCGCCGGTTCGAGCTTGTCCTAGCCATGCAGCGACCAACATCCAGATCAGCCATCGGTGCCGAGACCAGCTACCACAAAAAGTGCACTTACGACGTTGCGGTTGATGTGCGAAACCGCGCCACTGTTACCACAAAGCGATCAGCCTGAATCCAAGCCGATGGCGGCGAGCTGGGACGGCCAAACCTACTCTTTCTTGTCGAATCGGATCGTGGCCATGGCTGTACCAACGATGCTATTGTCAATCACCACCGCGCTTCGAGCCACGCGTGGTCGTGTACGTACCCGTACCGTCATCGCGATCTGTTTCGCAATCCGTGATCAGCTTGAATGCATCGCAGCAGGTGCAGGTGCAAGGCAGGGGGGGGGGGGGGGGCCCACCCCCCCCCCCCCCCCCCCCCCAACCCCCC